TATATATATTTTTTATTGCTGTGCACACTGGGGGCCATTGTGCTGGAGTCAAATTCCTTGTATTTTTGATAATACTTGGCAATAAAGTTTGTGCTTAAAGTTTATGCTTATAAATCAGTTCAAGCATAAAACACTCTTAAGAGTGAATTGTTGAGGTAAGGACTGTGGGGAATCTAAACAATGTCCATTATCCAGACACTAGACACCAGACAGTTTTTGAAAGAACTGCATTAATTCGGGTTAAACATCTGGGAAGTTATCATAGCTTTCAGCTGTTTGCGGAATATTTCCACACGTGTGCGCAGTTGGTCTTCTCTTGAACTCTGGCATTTCTTCAAATTCCACATAGATGCTGTCTGTAACTATGAGATCAGATCCTGAGCAGAATCGCAGAAATTTCTGAAGTTTAATTTCATTTAGCTCTCTGATTAATCTTTTCAGATGAGTTCCCACTTCCTGTTGTTTTGGAATCAAAGCAGCAGCAAATCTCAGCAGCTGACAGATCTTTTTTGAGTTCGGTTGCAGGTCAGAAAACGTCTTGGTCAGTGCCTCTGGACTGAGGGAGAAATAACGATGGGTAATCTCCCTCCAGCAGTCAGTGACGAACATCGGCTTTTGGACTAGTTCTTTGTTATTTACCATCAAGTATTGTAGGTTTTGACAGTTATCCTCTTTCTACAGCCATAGCTGTCAAGAACTTCCACAAGAGCATCATTGTAAAGGGGACCAAAGGTAAGTTCAGAATTAACAGACATTTCTAAATCATCATCCTGTCACATAACAAATAAAATTAAAAAGCCAGTGTTCACCTGTCTCACCATGAGACTTCACACTCACTCACAGGTCAATGCTGCCTGTAATCAAAACTGATATTATTTATTTTACTGCTTTCTAGACCCTTTAAAAGTAGGAAATGCCTCTGTATTAATCCAACTGAAACTTGTGGCTCCTAGACCAGACCTGCCAGAACTGAGGGAACTAGGGTGAATGGAGCTAAATCATTTTAAAATCCAACTTTAACCTAAACACTGTTCTGTTTGTGGTTCAAACAACAAATTGGCAGGCTAATAGATTCTAGGGAGTGAAAGGCCTGTGCACATATTTAGACAGAGATGAAATCATGTAATGTCTCCACTTATGTCACACTCTTTTAATTGCTTAATTGAAATGTTAATTGTGTTTGTATGCATTTCCTTTCCCACTATTTTTCTGATGCAATGTTCTAAATTACCCATGGGGGTGAATATACTGTATTTTGATGGAAAAGCTCTTACAGGAGTGTCCTAGTCTCACCCTGCTTGGACAGAGCAGGTTATCTGTGATGTCAACCTGAGCTGCTTCTCAGGGCAGTAGCCTACAGCATGGTGTTTGGGATTTTAAAAAATAACTGGTTCTGGAGTCTGAGATGATACAGAAATAGCTAACAAACGTGATGCTAGCTAAGGATAAGGATAATCACCTTTATTGGCCAAGTATGTTACACACAAGGAATTTGTTTCCGGTACACAACCGATGGCAGCCATCTGCGGCACCAACTCAACCGATGGTTCTAACCGATGAGAAAGGCTAAGGCAGCCTGAGAGGAGGCTTGTATTAGTTTTTCACAATTGCTAAGACAATAGACCCCATTCTCTGAACCAAATTCTCAATAGCTTAAACCAATTTGTCAAATAAATCACTCTTTCTGCAAAACCTTAAACAAGTTCAGGCAGTTAGACACTGTTTGCAGATCTCATGCACTCTTTTTGCTAAACACATTCTCACTAAAACACAATTCACACTGTGATGAACTTGTTTTGCAAAACACAGGACAGCAAAA